GGTGGCACATGGCGTGCTTGTCAAAATCTGGTGCTGGTGAGGGGGGGGATATGGAGGGGGAGGAGTAGGAGGAGGAGGAGGAGGAGGAGGAGGAGGAGGAGGAGGAGGAGGAGGAGGAGGAGGATTGGGATTGGGATTGGGCCCGTGGGAGTTCAACTGCTGCTGCTAGACGCCTGACAACACCGCCTACCTTCACAGTTAGGGGAACTCTGGGGGGCGAATCGTGATTCGCCAAACCGTCTGATGCGGCCCGTGGCACACGACGGACGCCGCACCGCCCCCACGAGCACCCCCAAGACGGCACGCAGCCTACAGGAGGGCCCGCTCTTGGGGACCAGTGAGAGTGCTACCGACCACCCTTCTTACCCTTGCCCCTGCCCTTGGCCCTCGAAGGCCTCCCCTCTCTTTGGATAGTCGGGGTATTGGACACTCCAGAACCATAAGCTGAGGGCAAAGGGGGGGGTCGAGGGTTCAAAACTTCAGAAGACACTAAGCCCCTGCGAATTAAGTCAGCCAACCTTTCGCTCGCCCGCAGCGGATGTTGGTGACTGACACCTCGGGATTCCGACACGGGCCCCCTGTTCACGGGCCAACTACTTGTCTGTAAAGCGCTGCTGCCGCTACTGCTGCTACCTCCTTTTCCTATGCCTAAGCTGCGCCCCTCTACTTGAACTCCACCAGCAGCTTCGACGCGTCCCGCTTCAAGGGGCCCCTCTGCGTGGGCCCGATGCGCCTCTCCGCCTTCACCGTCTCTAGCATGACAGTCACAATCTGCCTCAAGTGCTGCGTGTCGAAGGCGACGATCAACCTGCCCTTCAGCTTGCTCTCCGTCTTGTTCTTCCACTTCCCATGTGGAACCAGCTCCCCCACTTGTACAGCCGACGCCTTGTAGTGGTCCTCTTTGTAGAACTCGTGAGCGGTGGCCATCCACGGCACTTGCTTCACTCCTTCTTTGTTGTGCTGCATGGCCGCCCAGTGCATCGTCGTCACAAAGCTGGTCACGAAGGGAGGGCCCCTGCTCTGGAAGTCGACAGCTTCTCCCTGTTCTGCAATGGCCTTGAGCTCCTGAGCCTGGTCGTTGTAGTCCGCCCCTGCGCTCTCGTTCGTCGCCGCGAAGTCTGTGTCCGCGCAGATGTCGTATATGCAGTACACCGTGCTCGGCACCTCTGCCCACGCGCTGCTGTCGATGAGCACGAGCTTGCCGAGGAGGATGGGCACCAGCTTGATCAGAGCGTCTTGCCCTCGTGCTGCCTTCCTCACCTCCTCCCTGACACCTGCGTCGCCACCACGGCCCCTTTTGCTCATAGGGCCTGACAATGGGTCCCTCCGCCACGCGGGACGCTCCAGCGCCTCCTCGTCCGCCATCTCCGACATGAGCGGCTGGCCCAGGAGGAGATGATACGCCAAAATCTGCCTCTGTGGCAGAAGATATGGACGGGTCCACCTCACACGGGAGGTGGCTTGTGACCAAATGGCTACATAAGTTGTCCAAATCGTTGGCGTGGTATCCGCATATTCTGCATTCCAATGACGGTGGAGGCCGAACTCCCGAGAAAGTTGCTGAACCCCGTGACGGACATTTACCACTCATGAGGGCCCTCTGGAGGTGCTTGTAAGCGTTATCCTGGCTAGCGAATACACGTCTACATACTATGCATGTGTTTGTGGGGGTCAGCGTAGCGGATAGATTGTGTACTTGATGTATTTGGCGCATATGGTTCATGAGGTCCCTCCTGGTCTGGAACCCGTGCCCACATACCATCCCCACCTCCAAGACCCATTCGCACTTCCAAAGGAACTCCAGAGGTGCTCCTGGGGTGTCCTGCTTTTCTGTCATGTAGAGGTCCGAATGAGGGATCACCTTTGCCAGCTCGCGTGCACAGATCTCCGTAAAGTCCACACGAGTCCAGAACTCCCGATACTCATCATTCACTATGTCGCCTGGACAGCGAGCAAAATGAACACACAGGTCGCCCTCGTCGAGCGCATCTGCTGCACGCCGAAAATCAGCCTGCAGTTGAAGAAGCCACGGAGATGCCACTTTGGGAATAACTGTGTTGTCGTGCAACGGTTGGCCCCCCACGTCCAGGCCCAGGACCCCGAACAACAAGCAAAGCTCCTGGCTGTGGCTCTTCGGGGATATGGCCCAGGTACGATACCACCCCAGACGCCTGACCAGCAACTCCGTTTCCGAACTAGCGAGGCGCCAATGCTGCATCACTTTCTTGTTTGACCACGACCGAGTCTTCCCATCCACCTTCGTCGTCGCCTTCCCCTGCAATGCCCTCCTCCCGTAACGAGCCAGAAGCGAGTCGAGTTCACGATATTGACGCTTAGTGAGCAGCATTGGTTCTAATCCAGTGAGCGCCGCATTCTGCACGACACTCAGACACATAGTCCGCTTCCAGCGGAACGGCACCTCCAGGGACCATATCTGGCCCAAAGGCATAGTACGACTCAGCGGTAGCTTGAATTCTGCGACTAATCTCCACTGAGGAGGATAACAGCATATTAATTTTGGGGCCCAGGTGCCGCACATGCTCCTGAAGATCTCCTGCAAGTTGTTTTCGACCCTGACCCCTCGCCCACTGTTGACACTGTAAGGCCCCAGGTCCCTGAAAGCAAAGCTGCACCTCCTGCTTCCCGATGTTTTGTGCGTGTCCAATCTCCTCCAACTCCTCCGAACAGGGCCAAATCAGCTTGCTTCAGGATCCGAAAAAAACTTCCTACGGTACCATGAGGTTGGGCCACGTGCGCTCTAACGATGTCGTCGGCATGAAGGCAGCCACCGACGTCAGCACGTAAATCTCGCCAACTAGCCACCAGCCCCGCAGCAGACTTGTCCAAATCGCTAAGACGACGAAGCCACTGCAGGATGGGTCGAGAAAAAGTTCCCCGAAAGAGCTCCACGACAAACGGATCTCCCATCGTTCCTCCTTCCCCCGTCTTGATGTACATCCCCCCTCCATGGTCTCTAGCCAGATCACACTGCATCGGAAACGTTGAACACACAAATCTACATCCTGAGGTTCTGCGTGGAGCTCTACTGTCTGATCAAGTTCACCCCAGTCCCCACTGGCGAAAGCGTTGGACATGTCTTTAAACGTGAAAGCGAACGCGCGTCCAGCGCGTCGAAGGCGCCAGCAGAGGAGCTGTGCAACTAAAATAGCTCCTTCACGACGTCTACCTGTGCAAAAGCCGTGCTCCGTGACCATGGGAGGAACCCGAAGAAGGCCTGAATAAAAAGCTTTCCCCACCGTCGGCAATCCATGGACCGTCCTGCAGCCCACAGGTCCTGGCTTGGCGTTTTTTCGAAGCTGTGCTCCAGAACTTATGTGCCACCGAAGTGGGGTCCGATTCGTAGCCCTAACTATTCGTAGGCCTCCCTCCAGAATCTTCCCAAACAGCTTCATCTCAGGGACTACCTGCTCGTAGCCTACTCCCTGCCCCTTGGTGTCCATGTTGGCCTCTGGGTCCATACACATCAACCATACCTCAGCTGGCGGAGTCCCTGATGGCACCATGCGCCTCTTACTGGCACTTTTGAAGTATTTCTGAATTCTCCACTGATCCTTCCGAGCGAGCTCGCAATCCTCGGGCGTGATGTAAGGAGTGGGGCCAGGTGGATATTCGTTCAGCCGATCTTCGAAGATAATCTTCCGAGCCGACATGCCCCCGTCCCTGCCCTTCTTGCCCCAGTGGTCAAGCAACTCCTGCTCTGCGAACTAGCCCCCCCGCAAAAGTCGTCCGTCACGTCTCTTCGGTCCGAATCGGCACCTCGCCGCTTGCCTCGAAAGCCTCGTAGCCTCCGCTAGGCGACGGGCCTGCCACGCCTCCTCAATCGCATCCAGTAGAGCGGTACGACGTTGCTGATCGAATTGCTGCCTTTCTCTCCTGAGGCGCTGACTGAGCCTCTTCAACTGCTCCTCACACTCGTGCAGCTCTGTGGAATCCTCGTTCATGTCCTGTCGGGACCGTCTGAGTCGAGCACGTTCTTTCAGAAGCTCGGTTCGCTCTGCCGCAGCACGCCTATATGCGGGATCGTTAGATACAACATGGCCAAACATCTGTTGCCCGATCGTTACCAGCACATCATCAAGGTGAAGACAACTTTCGTCTGGTCTCCCGTCGGTCAGCATGGCCCTCCAAGTATCCTCAGTCTCCTGCAGGCGCGCTTCCACCTTCTCAAGAAACTCAACTCGACGGTGTCCTCGTCGAAGACACTGCATCAGGTCGTCCTGATTCCACCTAATTTTCTCTGGTGATGGTGTCAGCGTCTCCTCCGTGCAGATCGCTTGCATGCCGTGTAGCTCCATGTAGATTGGGATGTGGTCCTTCGGCGGGGCCCCCTTGAAGGCCGGCAGCTCCGCTCCCAGACTGAACAAAGGGGAGAACTTCTGTGCCATGTCGATCATGCCATCTGGTATAAACAGGTAGTCAATGCAACTGCTGTGTCCAGACGCGTTGTAGAACGTGTGCTCTAACGTCTGGCTGCGAGAATTCATCATGTACATGTGGTGTCGCTCATTCACCAGTCTCATCATTTCCCCCGCGCCACCACGCCTTTGCTCTCGGGCTCGTCCTGGTCCCATTGACTGCGACTCCACATGCTGCCACCGACCCGAAATCCTGCTGATGCCCATGCCATCGTTCAGGTCCGCATGCACCAGAGGTGTACATCTGCATGGTAGTTGTTGTAGGACCCCCTTCATACCACTGCGTCAGCATACGGACCGTCTCTTTGTAATGCGGGACCATGCGAGCGTGTCGAGGCTGAGGCGGGAAGTACAACACAATTGCTGACATATCCAAAGGGCCTCGACGGACCCTCGCCGCGAGAGCTCGGCCCGCTGCCCCCGAGGGGCTCGGCCATGTCCTGCACACGTGCTGCTCCTTGAACTTGTGGCCCAGGACGATGGCGCAGCCTGTGCTCTTGTTCGTAAGCTCGCCCACGCCCGCCTCCGCCTCGAGGACGATCCTCTTCCCGATCCTTCGAGTGAGAACTTCATCATTACGCCTGTGCGTAGCCTGTGTGCCAGCGAGCATCACCACGTCCATATTACTGCACGACATAGCCACCTCTTGGAGGCGGACGCCCGTGCAGAACATCGGGTTGTACCCCAGCACCCTCAGGATCCACTGGCCCACGGGCCGCGCCATCGCGATGCGCGTGGCGCCACGGCAGGCCATCCGCCCGCCTGCGCCGCGGCCGCCCCTCGCACGCTGTGTGCCATAGCGGCAGCTAGGAGGAGGAGGAGGAGGAGGAGGAGGAGGAGGAGGAGGAGGAGGAGGAGGAGGAGGAGGGGGAGGGGGGAGGGGGAGGGGGAGGGGTAGGAGGAGGGTGGGGTGGCTCACACCCCCCCTGCTGCTGCGCTCCTATCTCACCTGCCTTCCAGTTCCCTCCTGTCTCTCTCCCGACTGCTGTATTCTTTTGGTGTGTGCGATGTCGCTGGTGCCCGCGTGGACTGTCCCCTGTCAATTTGGGCACCGAGAGAATTTTCATGAGTGACCACGCGCCTCTCGTTGCGTGGCCAGGGTATTCGACCTGCACGCATGACGCCACTGGACACGTGCCCAAACGTTTGACAGGTACCCATGTCGCGCATTCAGCGGGAAAAAATGGATGACGGATGACGGATGACGATGCCGATGACGATGACGATGATGATGATGATGGTGATGATGGTGATGATGAGGATGATGATGATGATGATGTTGATGTTGATGTTGATGATGTTGATGATGGTGGTGGCGTTGTTGTTGATGATGATTATGATGTTGTTGTTGATGGTGATATCGCTGATAGTAATGATGATGTTTCTGATGATGGCGGTGATGATGCTGATGATGATGCTGATGCCGATGATGAGGATGATGACGAACATGATGATGCTGGTGATGACGATGATGCTGGTGCTGCTGCTGATGATGAAAACGATGACGATGATGATGCTGCTGATGATAATGATGGTGATCATGATGCTGATGGTGGTGATGATGCTGATGATGCTGATGCTGAAGATGATGCTGATGATGCTGCTGCTGATCATGATGCTGATAATGCTGTTTGTGGTGGTTGTGGCTATGATACGGGTGATGATCATGACAACGATGATAACGACGATGACCATGATGATGATGATGATGATGATGAGGATGATGATGATGATGATGATGATGATGATGATGATCATGATGATGATGATGGTGGTGGTGGTGATGGATGATGGTGATGCTGACGGTGATGGAGTTGATGATGAATATGGTGTTGATGTAGCTGTTGTTGTTGGTGTTGTTGTTCGTGTTGTTTGTGTTGTTGTGGTTGGTGTGGTTGTTGCTGCTGTTGCTGCTGCTGATGTGGGTGATGATGATGCTGATGATGATGCTGATGGTGATGATGCTGATGATGGTGATGATGGTGATGCTGATGATGGATGATGATGCTGCTGCTGATGATGATGATGATGATGATGTTGATAATGATGATGATGATGATGATGATGATGATGATGATGATGATGATGATGATGATGATGATGATGATGATGATGATGATGATGATGAGGATGAGGATGAGGATGAGGATGATGATGATGATGATGATGATGATGATGATGATGATGATGATGATGATGATGATGATGATGATGATGTTTCGTATGATTTTTTTTTTTGCTATGGCGGGTAAAGATGGTGATGGTGACGATCACGACGATCAGGGAGCGCAGCTCCATTCTGCCCCAGCCAGAGGGCGCGAAGCAGCGCCTCTCGACGGCGCCGGCATGGATTGGCACCACCTCCTTCCAGTCCACAGTGAACAAGATGATGCAGGAGGACTCGGGCGGGTCGCGGCCGCGAATGGGGGTCGAGGAGGAGGAGGAGGAGGAGGAGAAGGAGGAGGAGGCTCGGTCTCTCCGGAGAAGTAACTGTTCGTAGCTCGAAGCTCGAAGGAGGTTCGGAGCGACAGCATCCAGGGGAGGAGGAGGTGCTGTTAAAGATGGAGGAGCATGTGCTGGAAGAGGTGGAGGAGGAGCAGGAGAGGGAGATGTGGAGGAGCACAGGCACAGGGCAGGAGGAGGGGAGGAGGAAAAGGAGGAGGAGGAGGAGGTAAGGAGGACGAGGAGGAGGAGGAGGATGAGGAGGAGGGGAGAGGAGGAGGATGAGGAGGAGGAGGAGGGCCATTGTAAACCTGGCACGCGCGCATGCCACGTATGCTGCAGTAAGGCCTATCGTCCCAGGCGCCCTCCCCAAAAGTTGGCGTAACTACTCTCTTTCGGGCACCTGGCAGAAAGGTCGGTTCCTCACGGGCCTGCAGGGTGCGAGCTGCGTGTGACCTGTGATGCGCACCAGCGGTACTTTGAGATTCGGCTTCTTGGCGTGATGTTCCGACGCGACTCTTTTGCTTCGAGTCGGCTGGATGCCGATGCCGATTCGGCCGCTCGGCTTGGCGGTACGCTGCGTTTCTTTGCAGGGAGCTCCCGTGAGCAGGTGCCTCTGCCAGGGAGCTGGGTACACCCGACGCCGTCGCGGCGGGCCTGGAGGAGGAGGAGGAGGAGGAGGAGGAGGAGGAGGAGGAGGAGGAGGAGGAGGGGAGAGGAGGAGGAGGAGGAGGAGGAGGAGGAGGAGGAGGAAGAGGAGGAGGAGGAGGAGGAGGAGGAGGAGGAGGAGGAGGAGGAGGAGGAGGAGGAGGAGGGGAGGAGGAGGGAGGAGGGAGGAGGAGGAGGAGGGGAGGAGGAGGGCTGGACCTGTGCAGCCAGATGCCCCCCCCGGCGCCCGGTCCTTCGGCGGCAGGGCGCGCGGGCCCCCCCCCCCGCGCGAGTGCGGCGGAGCCAGCGCGTGGCCATCCCGAGGCGTCCACTCGTCGGGCCAGCCGTGTGCGTAGGGGAACACAAAGTGACGTACCCTGACCTTCCAGAGAGCTATTTTTTAGCACGGGAGGCCTAAAAACCTAAAAACAACGAAGCGAGACAGCCCAAAACCAAGACGTAGAACAGCTCTGGGATGGGTTTTTGAGTCGCGTGCCATTTTTTTAGCCCTCCTGGAAGGTCAGGGTAAACATAAAAACTCGGAGGTCCGCGCGGATTTCTCGGATCGGCGCCGGGGCCCCCAGGCGGCGCCTCCGGCGCCGCCCCTGGCGCGCTCCGCGCGCCAGGGAGGGGGGCCTGGCGCCGATCCGAGGAATCCGCGCGGAGCTCCGAGTTTTTGTGTTTCTGTCACTTTTTGTTCCCCCAGTGAGGCGCTCCAGCAAGGGCCTTGCCGTCGAGGGTCGGACGAGTCGTCGTCTCCTCGGGTGTTGCTAGACGTGCCCCCTGGCCCAAGGTGCCCTCAGGATTGCCCTGGGGGCCCCCACGGCCTCCAGAGCACCCCCCACGAGGTCCAGAGGGCCCTTTAGGGGCTCCAGAATGGAGCGACAAGCTGACGAGGAGGAGGAGGAGGAGGAGGAGGAGGAGGAGGAGGAGGAGGAGGAGGAGGAGGAGGAGGAGGAGTAGGAGGATGGGGGGGCACCTTGGGCCAGGGGCACCTTCAGCAGCCCCCGATCTCTGCCGCCGCGGAGGGTCGGCGGAGGGTCCCGGCGGGAGGTCGGCGCGGAAGGAAGGAGGGAAGAGAGGCCTGCCGGCGGAGGCGCGGCGGACGGCGGGCGGGATAGCCCAGGCGCCCAGCCCACAAGGGGGTCCCCAGCCCGCTGGGAGGACCGCGATCCTCGCGAGGGCCCTCTTTTTCGGAGGCCGAGGCGCTCCGCCCACAGCTGGCCCACGGAGCGGGCAGAGGGGCGCGGAAGGAAGAAGAATGACGGGCTTGTGTTCCACCACCACCACCACCAAAAGGTGGAGGGGGTGATAGGGAGAGGCAGTGGAGGAGGAGGAGGAGGAGGAGGAGGAGGAGGAGGAGGAGGAGGACCCCCTCCCCCTCCAACTTGTGGTGGTGATGTTGGAAAACAGGCCCATCAAAAGATGCGCCCCCGAGAGATGAGAGCGTTTTTGGGTGCAGGGTTTCCGAAATCGTCCGTGTGTGTGTGTGTGTTCCAGCTTCCTGGCGCACACTGTCAAAACCTGCCCCCCCATCTTCCCTGCTTCGGCGGCACGCCCACGGGAGGAAGACAGAGGGGGCTGGGCCTCTCAGAAGGTGGCGGGGCTGCTCAGAAGCCTTCCCGCCTCCTGTGAAGCCTTCTGGGCCTCCGGCTTCTCAGAAGGCGCGATGGCTTCTGAGAAGCTTTGCCACCTTCTGAGAAGGCCAGCCTCCTCTGCCTTGCCCGCTGGGTGGGACCCTCCCCTGAGTCCCTAAGGGCTTTACGACTTTTCGCCAATCGACTTGCAGGGATCAGGCCAGATAGATCGAGACAAAGCCAGCTAACTCGAGGTGCATCCAGGTACATCGAGGCAAGTCCAGAGATTCGACAGGCTTACACCACATCCGCCGACCCCTTGTATTCCTTGTGATAGCAGCGCGAAATCGTCAAGCATGATTTTTTGGGGGGGCCTCTTGGGGGCGTCTTGTGGGTCTCTTGGGGCCTCTTGGGGCCTTCTGCGGCCGTCTTGGGGCGGAAGGCCCAGATTGTCGGTTCGGGCTCCTCTTCTTGGGCCCCTCTTGGGGCCGTCTTGGGGCCCTTGTGGGCCGTCTTTGGAGTCTCTTGGGCTGTCTTAGCGCCCTCTTGGGCCGACTTGGGCGCCTCTTTGGGGCCTCTTGGGCCGTCTTGGGGCGGTCTTGAAGTGCTCTTGGACCGTTGTCTGCGCCGTGAAGGCCGACAAGTCAAATATGATGAACATGTACGTTTTCCCATATGAAATTGACGATGTTCGGCTCTTCGGCCCTTTCGAAGACTGCTCTTGGAGGCGTCTTGGGCTGTCTTGGAGACGTCTTGGCTCGTCTTCGGGCCATCTTGGGCGTCTTGGAGCGCTCGTTTGGCGTCTCGGGGCCCTCGTGGGCCGTCTTGGAAGCGTCTGGAGGCCTTCTTGGCTCGTCTGGAGCCCCTTTTGGGCCCAAAAAAGCACCGTGGCGCGCTCGTCCGGGGCCAACAGGGGGGGGGTCAAATCTCCGGTTTGGTGTCCCTGGGGGGGGATTATGGGGGGGAACTATCTCACACGCTTAGAGACCCACAAGGGGTCGGCGGATATCTGGAGAAATCTGCAGCAAATCCTAGACGCAAGGGGCAGCAGAAGTCGTTACGTGAGCTCTTAATGTCTGTTGTGGTCGTCGCCTCGCTCCGTTTCCGAGGATGGTATTTGTCCAGCTGCCTGCGGCAAGTCCTCCCACAATGCCAGCCCAGTTTTCTGGGCGGCGACTGTTCTGAGGAGGCACGGGAGACCGTCACGTGTGACACCTCGTGTCTCCAGGCTTCGGAGAGCCGTGATGAGGATGATGGGGTGATGATAAAGAGATGATGCTAATGATAATAATAATGATAATGATAAACAATGATGATGATAATGATGATGATGATGATGATGATGATGATGATGATGATGATGATGATGATGATGCTGATGATGCTGATGATGCTGATGATGGTGATGGTGATGGTGATGGTGATGGTGATTGTGATGGCGAAGTGGAAGGCGATCATGATGATGACTGTGATAGGGATTGCGATGTTGATGGTGATGTGGATGATGGCGGTGATGATGCTCTTGATGATATTGGTTATGCTGTTAAATATGATGATGCTGTTGCTGATGATGCTGATGATGATGCCGACGTCGACGATGACGATAACATTGACGATGTTTATGATGATGGTGATGATGATGCTGACGGTGATGGCGATGACGATGGCGATGATGATGATGATGATGATGATGATGCTGATGATGGTGATGATGCTTATGGTGGTGGTGGTGGTGATGGTGGTGTTGACGATGACGACGATAATGATGATGCTGCTGCTGATGACGATGCTGCTCATGACATTTATGACGCTATCGATGATTCTGCTGCTGATGATGATGAGGATGCTGCTGATGATAGTGATGATGGTGGTGGTGCTGCTGCTGATGGTGCTGCTGTTACTGCTGCTGGTGGTGATGTCGTTGTTGTTTGTGATGGTGATGAGGAGGATGAGGATGAGGATGCTGATGATGTTGATGATGATGCTGCTGCTGATGATGATGCTGATTAAGGTGATGATGATGATGCTGATGATGATGATGACGATGCTGATGATGCTGATGATGGTGATGATGATCATGATGATCATGATGATGGTGACGACGATGATGCTGATGGTGATGGCGATGCTGTTGCTGCTACTGCTGATGCTGATGCTGCTACTGCTGCTTCTGATGCTGGTGCTGATGCTGCTGCTGATGGTGATGACGGTGATGCTGACGATGATTATGCTGATGCTGATGCTGATGCTGATGATTGTACGAATGATGATGATGATGATGATGATGATGATGATGATGATGATGGTAATGATGATGATGATGATTATGATGATGAAGATGATGCTGATGATGCGTATGATGATGATGGTGATGCTGATGATGCTGATGATGATGCTGATGCTGATGCTGCTGCTGATATGATGGTGATGTTGATGATGCTGATGATGCTGATGATGTTGATGATGATGATGCTGCTGCTGCTGATGATGATGATGATGATGATGATGATGATGATGATGATGGACTTCGTTTGGGCTGTCTTGGGGCTGTCAGGCTGGCCTTCCTGTGAGGCAGTCTTGGGGGTTCCTTGGGGCCCTCTTGGGCTGTCTTAGGCCCTGTTACTCAGCTGTGGAGCTTTCTTCGGCCGTATTGGGGCTTTCTCCGTCGTCTGGTGGGTGCTTTGGGGCTGTCGTGTGACTGCCTTGGCGCCGTCTTGGGCCGTCGAAGGGC